ATCATTTCTTTTGGATAGAAAACATGCAGGTAGTAAAAATGTGAAATTTTAAATATGTGGAGGGAGGAAATAAATAAATAGGAATTTATTAATGGGAACTTTTCTTAGAACTTTAAGAAAAATACCTTAAGATGTATATAAAGAGTAGCAGGCACTGTACTAAGCAGTTCGCATACGAGGTTTCCCTCTCACCGCAGTCATAAGGTGATACTAGTACACCTATTATCATTCGAATTCCTCCTGTTACAGGGAACAGAAAAACAGACCCAAACTGGCTAAAGAAAGAAGGGAATTTTTTCACTCAGGTAAGGGAAAAGACTAAGAGTAGGGTTGCCTTCAGGGCCGATACTACATCACCAGGGCTTGGACTCGGTCCCAGTACCTACCGTTTTGCTGCGTAATCTGCCCTCTGAGGGTCATGGGACGGTCCTCAACAGCTCCAGGCTCTCACCTTGTGATGACCAGATAGCCAGCACCACTGTACTGTCACGTCGCTTCTTGTTTGGACATTCAGGATGAAGAATTAAAGGAATTTTCCAGGAGCTCCATCTAATCGGCCTATCTAGGTCAGATGCCCATCCCAACCAAGTCCTTGCGGCCAGGGCTCTGTGATTTTCTGACTACCTTAGGCCAGTCCTGTGTTTCATCCCAGGACTGGAGAATCCCCGGGGCTATCTGACTCATGATGGGGTTACATCCTGACGAACCCATCGTTAAGCTGAAAATGCCTTCGGTGGAAAGTGAATTTTAACCCTACACTGTAGAGCGCGGGTGCGCACCCTCCGGTGGGGTGGCTGACGGGAGCTGTGACTTAGGGACGCTGTCCAGCACCACAGAGGGTATCTCACTGCCTATCCCCGGCCCGGCGAAAGTTAAAAATCCGAAATCAGCAGTGTGGTTTCTACCAAGCGCGTCCGTAGCCGCGCCGCCCCGCTGGGAGGGCGCGTCGGGGCGTCCGCATGTGCGGCACGGAAGGCGCGGTAACTGACCGACTCAGGGCGGGAGGCCCGGGGAGGCCGGAGACAGCTGCGCGGGGAAGTGGCTCCCCAGGCGGGCGTGGCTGTTGGTGGGCATCGCCCATGCACCCAGAGGTCGCTGGCTCGCCCCCCCACCCCCGCCAGGGCACATGCACGGTTTGGGCCTCGACTCCCAGGATGGGGTGTGCAGGAGGCAGCCCATCCATGTTTCTCTCTTTCTCTCTCCCGTCCTCTTTCTGAAATCAATAAAAACGTATTTGGGAGAAAAAAAAATAAACGGCTGAAATTCTGTCATATGTGCTGAAAACTGCAGATCCAAGGAGCTAGTGAACTCCCGGCACAAGGCCGTCTCAGGGAGCGTGGCGGGGACCCGCAGGGATGGGGACCCCACCCCATAGGAAGGCCGCAGACCCTCAGGCGCATGCGCGCTGGACTGTGCCTGGCGGGGCTGGCGCGCATGCGCGGTGGGGCCGTGTGCAATC